GCATGCAAAAGAACACCAATGACATTCATGTGAAAAAAAAATTCCAAGGGATTATTTGAAAATGCTTTTTAACGTCATGCATTTGTTCTAATGCTTCTAAATATATACATTGGTAGATGCAGACAAAAGACAAACTATAAAAATCCAGAAACAGAATATATTTAAGAATAAAAACAACTCTATTAGGAATCTATGTTCCAACGCTGATGAGTTAACGTTTGGTTCTAAAATGGCTAAAATGAAAATTCAAAATCCACACTTCATAAGGTTTAAAATGACTTGGGATACATTCTAATCGTGCCAGGAGCTAAGAGAGCATGGTTCTGTCATTTGATGTCATTGGATGGCAGTCCAAAACTGCCACGCAAAATTACCTTCAAAGGATTTCTTTCAAAGCAACCCTATCATGTGTTTTAAACTCATTAGAAGGGACTTTAAAAAAAAAAAAACAAAAAAAAAACAGGGCCTCCCCAGTGGCGCAGTGGTTGAGTGCTGGGCTACGAAACTGACGGCAGCCTCTGCAGCACCAGTTCAATCGCTGGCCTCCGGCGAGGGTCCCACATGGCACACAGACCTCTCCTGTCTTGCCCGCTGCTCCCCTCAGCAGTGTACTTTGGTTAATCTGCCTGTTCTGCTCCCCACTCTGTCTCTGGTGAATCCTCTCACCCCCCACACACACCTTTGGCCTGTACCCCAGATCTTGTATGCATAAATAAATAAATCTTTAAAAAAAAAAAAAGAACCTAAACTACAGGTGACACTGTAAAAAATAGTAATGACCCGGTCTCAGCCAGCAATTCTTGCAGCCATGCTGCTGCACTCGGGGCGCTGCCAGTGCACGCAACTTCTGAGGTTTAGGCAAGCCCCACCAACAGTGTTAAGGCACCAACCAAGGAGCCAGGGTTCCGAATTTCTAGTTGGATCCCACCACTTACCTCCCCATGGGCCCTAAGCCAGTTACTGCACCCGGGGCTCATTTCTGCATCAGCAAAACAGGCATTGTAATACCCACCTCACAGGGTTAGAGTGAGGACTGGAAGCCTGAAACAGCAAGCAGCAATTATGATTACTTCCTACCATAACGCGTTCTCTGGGATTCCAAAAAAACTTCCAACTTCCAGATGAAGGAATCCTGCTTGTTAAAATTTATGACCAAAGTTTGTCAAAATGCAACTTTTCTTGACAAGAAATCAAGTATTATACCAAAATCTAGCTGTTAATCTTTTTTAAATTTATTTTCTATTATTTTTTTAAATTTTATATATGGGAGTGCAAACTGGTCCAACCGCTATGGAAAGCTGTGTGGAGATTCCTCAACCTGCTAAAGATGAGGCTTCCATATGATCCAGCAATTCCACTCCTAGGTATTTACCCAAAGGATACAGAAACATTAATTCAAAAGGGCACCTGCACCCCTATGTTTATAGCAGCACTATGTACAATAGCTGTCAATCTTATTCAGATTTAACACGAATGCAAAAGCAATGGCAGCCAGCTTCGTAGTACCAATAGAATTTTGACAAAACTGCTAAATGGAAAGAGAATAGTAACAATAGATATGGCCAGTCTGTCACTTCCCTCCATTACAGACTTCCAACATCACAACTTTAAGCTTGCCATATTTTTTTTTACCTATGTCACTTAAACACATATAGAACCTCATGGATTTCCTGAGCTGTTCTCAGTCTCACAACTGAAAACCACAGTCACAGTCAACTAAAAGCACTACCAAATTTAATTTCCATGTGGGATGAATCCTTAACTCTGAAATCTTGCAGCACTAACTCTAACTTTAAAAATATCATTTGCAAATAAAAATCTTTTGAGACTCATAAGTACACATATAGTTAAGTAAAAATCAACATTATCAACAAGGAATTGCAAACTTTTCTTATACTTTCAAAGTGTGAACATTTGAGTGAACCAATAACTATAAAACATTTAAGATTCCACCCTGTTTAGGGATGATGATGTAAAGAACATTCCTATCCAAGGCTTTGGCTAACAATTTTAAAAACTAAGAAAACCTACTCAAAATTCCTCTAAGAAATGAACTGTTTTCTTCATTTTGCAAATGTGTTTGAGCTGTGTAGGTTATATGGGAATTTTCAACTGTGGGTTAGCACCCCAACTACCACAACATTCAAGGTTCAACTGTACTCTTGTCCAAATGCTACCTTAAAGTTGGCACTACAGAATCTGTTCGCTAGTCAACTTTTCCACGGCACATTGTATAAGAAATAGAGAAAGCCCTCAGTTAACACTGTCAGGTGCTTGGAAACTGCCACTTTCAGTAAGACAATATATCATGAAAGCAGGTCCTCCAATAATATCATTGTTTTGTTCAAAGGGGCCTGGGATTGGTTTTTCTCATCAAAGTTTTAATGAAACAACACTGAACAAAATGACATTATTCCAGAGTGTGCTGTATTTTTTTAGCAAAGTAAATTCGTTTATTTTGATTATGACCAAAACGTTATAATTTAACTTAAAAAAATCACAACTTTGAAAACAGCAATACTTTGAAATTTTTAAAAAAATATTCTCATAGCCAGTAAATATTTTATGTTGTACTTAATGCACATCATAGATGCTGAAAGATATTATAGCTTACTTTTCGTTTGTACTAGGAAATGCTAATAAATAATAGGGAAACATCTCTAGAAGGACTTCAGCAGTTAAATAGAATCAAATAATTTACTGTACTGGAATATATTCCAGGAAAAAAAAAGGGAGATTCTTTAACTCTCATAAATTCGTTCTAATGTCTTTTTTTAGTAAGTATTCACCAAAGCCACTATAAAAGCAGCTGAAGTTTCCAAGCAAAACTGATTTCCCCCAAAAGAGATTGTCTCTTTAACTTAGAATCATTCAGATCATGTAAATGATCTCATCCCAAGATTCTGTGAGACAAATTTATTTTGCTGATTCTCATTATTTTTAGTTTTAGTTAAATCTACTCTTTTCTCAAGTCATAACACATGCTGTAAGGGACAATTCTATAGACACAGACTAATTTCCACATCTTTAGTTACCTGTGTAACTAAAGCTGCTCTCAGTCTCACAACTGAAAACCACAGTTACTGTCAACTAAAAGCACTATCAAATTTAATTTCCATGTGGGATTAAATGTGTGTATGCTGTAGCACCTAAGTCATCAGGGGGCTGTGGCTATTAATATGGATAAGTGCCTTAATTTTAAAAAATGACAAAAACATCTATTGCAGCTTAGCAATGCTGTATTTTAACACTGTTGACACTCAATTTTTCCTCTAGAAGGTAATCTTAACAGAAAGTATAACATCCAATTGATTTTCCACATTTGACGGAAGAACGTACTTGAGAAAAAGAAAAAAAAAAAAAGAGCTCGAAAGTAGGCAGAGGGGTGGAGGATCATTAGCATCCTGACAGCCTAGAGACTAATAGAGTCCTACTTCTTTGATGAAGCTCTGGCATTTAAAATATCACCGAGGATAATGGAAATCAGGGAAGATAAAAGTTCAATGCTCTGTTCCAGGCACAGCAGGTTGTACATTTCTTCTCTGATAGAAAATTCATTTCTAACCAAACACTGTATCTACAAACCACTCCAAGTGCACAAAGCACTCCTAAAACCCTGGCCTGATGCCAGAAGAAAGAATGAAGCAGTATCACAGAAACTACAATGAGAAGCCGAATTAACTTTCCACTAGTATTATCTATTTACAGAATTATGAATGAAACCCGCAACAAAGGTCCCTACTGCAGCTACTTGTGTATCAGTTGCCTAAGGGGTGGTTTGCATCTGGCTCCTAAGTGTCTTCCAGAAACTCATCAAAGAGGTTGTGCCAGGTTCTTGGAAATAGAAAGTGATAAATGAAAATCATGGGGGGAAAAGCTGCCTTCCCAGAGAGATATCAGTCCTGCAGCCCTGCCTAGGACTGTGGTCTTAGTGCCAGGCTGACTGAGATAGCAGAGACTCCAAGGAGCAAGCCTTGGTGACAGCTGGTGGGGGAGTGTGTAAATTTGGGATACAAACACACCCTGTGTTTCCACTCATGAAGCCCTCCTTCCCCTAGTTGTTTCCTACCCCTGCCCTCCAATCTCTTTTCTGGGCTCCGTCCCAAACACTTAGGTCTTAAATATCTTAAATATCCAAACATCCTCTCCACTGAATTTTGAGATCCCAGGTTCTTGCCCAAATGTCCACCCTTGCAGTACATCTCAGTACCGCCCCCATGTCCAGTCTCTGCTAACCCTCCTCCACTCCCCATCAGGCCTTAATTCTCTCCCTCCCCCTAGGTCACTGACTCTCCCTCGGGTACCATCCCCAGTCTGTGTTCTCTTGTTGTCCCACCACCACCACCACCCCCCCCCATACCCTCATCTGGGGATTAGTACTTCCAGCCCCACAGGTCTCAAGCCGGCAGGTACCCATCCAAGTATCTACCTTTCCTTAGCATCCCATTGGCGCTCAGTCTGGCTCCCCATATTTTTCCTTTACTCCTACCTATCCAGGTATACTCTCAGGTCCTTCGTGCCTCCTCCCAGTCAATTCCTTATTCCCTCTTTCCCTATCCCCTCGTTCCCTCCCAGGTCTCCTTCTTCCCTTACTCGTCCCCATCAGGGGTTAGCTCCCGCCCCCTCCTCCGCCTCTACTTCTGCCCAGCCAGGTACACCCACCTACCCATCGTCTCTCAAGAGGTCGGATCTCGAAGCCCCCTCCGATACAGATCTCCTACCCATCACGGCTCAGTGTCCAACCCCCCGAAAGGCCCGAGGTGCCCCCCCACGTCAAGAACGCCTCCGCTTTCCCTCTGACAGACACACTTGGGGTCGCGGCCTTTCGGGTTCCGCGGGCATCTTAGCAGGGGCCGCCCGCCCAGCCAGCTTTGGGCTCGGTTCCAACCAAGACGCCAACTCGCGGCTCCTCGCGACGCAGCATGCCCGGGGCGGGGGCTGGGGACTTGGAGCGCCGGGCGGGGGAAGAAAGGGCCGGGCTCACGGCGCGGGGCCGTTACCTGTACTGTGGGCCGGCGCCCTGCGCAAAGCCGTAATAATTACTCGCCGCCATCTTGACGTCCTCACCAAGCGCGACCGAACCCGAGGCGCTAAGGGGCGTGGCCGCCGGCGCGTGGCGTCACCGGGCCGCGTGCCGCTCGCGTCCCGCCACGCGCCCCAGGCCCCGCCCCGCCACGCGAAGCTCTCACGTCCCCCTCCTTGTGGGGGCGTATCCACTTCAAGCCACGCCCCGACTCAAGACCCTCCCCTACTTGGAGCCCCGCCTTCCCTTTAACCACTTAGGAGCGGGGACCCTCCGTTCAAGCCACGCCCTCCTTCGTACCCCTCCCGCCGCCGGCGGGTCTGCATCCGGGCCTCTGGCTCGCACACCGCCCCTTGCACGCAGTTGCACCATCCCTGGCCTGCTCTGCCTCTGGAATTTGTGTTCGCCCTACGCTGCAAGCCCCGCCCCTCACAGGAGCCCCGCCCTTTCTTGAATCCCTCAGAAGTGGGGCGTCTGCTGGAGCCCCGCCCTTTCTTGAATCCCTCAGAAGTGGGGCGTCTGCTCGAGCCCCGCCCTTTCCGGGGGCCTAGCTTTCTCTTAACCACCGCTCAGCTGTTGGAGTCTCTGCTCTCTCCCCCTTCCTACTCGTCCCCCTCCCCAGGCCACCCTGGAGGTAATTTGACTTTTTGCCCCATTTCGGTGGGTGTAAGAACACCACTGACGGCTTCGGACTGGTGGATGGCCCTGTCCACTTGGTCAAGTCCAGCTTATTCCTTCAGCAACCCCCCTCCGTGCCAGCCTGTTGATGGAGTCTTCCAAAGCTCCACTCAAAACCTTAATTAGGTAACTCTAATTCAGTGGTCCTCATCTGGAATCATTTGCATCCAGGAGACACTGGGCCATGTTAGGGGACATCTGTGATTGTTATTTGGTGGCATTTGGTGGGTGACAGGGATGCTGCTCAGCACCCCCACGTGTCCAAGACAACCCCACCGCAGAGTGTGATTCAGCACCAGTGTCAGCAGTGCCCATGTAGAGCCTGCAGTTCCTCACTTGGAATAAAATGATTGTTCATCTGCCGCCCACCCTGTCTTCAAGGTTGTTTTTCATTACTCTATACCACCTCTTAAAAGCATATAAGTATGCTATTATCTCATTTTGAAATTGACTTCAAAAGAACATAATCAGGGCCTCCCTGTTGGCACAAGGGGTTGAGATACAACCTATGAAGCAATCTGCAGCCACTGCAGCACGAGTTCAATCCCCAGCCAAGGAGCTACCCACATAGCGCAGCAGACCTCTCCTTCTTGCCTGCGGCTCCCCTCAGCAGTGTATTTCAGTCAGTCTGCCTGTTCTGTTCCTTACTCTGTCTCTGGTGAATCCTCGCCCCCAACATCTCTGGCCTGTCCCCCAGTTCTTGTATGCATAAATAAATAAATCTTTTTAAAAATAAAAATAAAAAAAGAACATCATCAGAGCCTCCCTGGTGGCCTAAGGGTTAAATCTCAGCGCTATCACCACTATGCCTGAGTTCGAGCCCCTGCCAGGGAGCTGACCCACATGGTACAGCAGACCTCTCCTGTCTCGCCCACTCCTCCCCTCAGCAGTGTTTTAGTAGATCTGCCTGTTCTGCTCCCCACTCTGTCGCTGTTGAATCCTCTCACCCCCACACCTCTGGCCTACACCCCAGTTCTTATATGCATGAATAAATAAAAATAAATCTTTTTTTAAAAATGAAAGAAAAAACTTAAATCTGAACAAAAAAGTGGCAAAGACATGAACAGACACTTCATCAAATAAGATGTACAGTTGTTCAACATCATTAGCACAATAAGATAGCATATTCCACATCTTCCCAGGGAAGATGTGGAAAGACAGGAACACTCATTGCTGGCAGAAAAAAAAAAAAGTAAAATGGCACAGCCATTTCAGATAATGGTTTGGAAGTTTCTTCAAAAACTACACATTCAGGCGCGCAGACCTCTCCTGCCGTGCCTGCTGCTCCCCTCAGCAGTGTATTTCAGTCAATCTGCCTGTTCTGTTCCCCGCTCTGGCTCTGGTGGATTCTCTCACCCTCCCACACTTCTGACTGTACCCAGTGCTTGTATAAATAAAATTTTAAAAAAACAAACAAAAAAAAAACCCTACACATTCAGTCACCACGTGATCCAACATATGTATTCCTGGGTATTTATGCCAGAGAAATGAAAACTTAAATCCACACAAAAACCTGTAAAGGGATATTCATAGTAGCTTTATTCAAACTGGAAACAGGAGAGCAGTTATACAAACTGTGATCCATGGAATATTACTCAGCAATAAGAGAAGAATAAACACTCGATACTCATGACAAGTCAGATACATCTGACTCGTGGAAAGTGGAAAGAACCAATGAGCTGAGTGGAAAGAACTTGTGCTGAGTGAAAGAACCAATGCCAAGGGGTGGGGGGAAGCAAATATTGTTTAAAAATGAACAGTGATGTAAAAAATAAAAAAGAATAAAAAAGAACCAATGCCAAGCTATTACATACTCCTATTATTTCATTTACATAAAATTATTGAATGACAAAATCATAGAACAATGCAGTGTGATTTTCAGGAGTTAAGGGTGTAGGGAAAGGGAATGAGGTATGGAAGTATCTATAAAAGGGCAAAATGAGGGACCCGGTGATGGAAATGTTCTGTATCTTGAATATATCAAGCTCAATAGTGATAATTCTATAAAATTTTGTACAATACTGTAAGTTTTGTAATTTACCCTGTGGTAACATGGTGGGGGGAGGCAGAGACAGTGTCTGAATCTCTTTGTGTGTGTTTTTGTTGCTGTTACAACCTCATGTGAATCTACAGTAATTTCAAAATTAATTTTTAAAAAGGACATTTACCAACCATAGGGAGGGTGCTCTTTTGCCCTTTCATTCTAAAAAGGCATAAGGTTAGTTAATACTTGGACAGAAACCATGGAAAGCCCAGAGTGCCAAGAGAAGTCATATAGGTGATTTAGTAGATGGCATTCTTCCATTTGTGTCTTCATGACCATGTGTGGCCACAAGGAACAATCTGGTGGGTCTGGCAAATACAGTTCTCCCACCAAGCCCTGGCTGATGTCCAGAGAGGTAATTACCCATGTTCTGCCTCCAATTCCCTGCAGCTTTAATTGGAGAATGAAGGTTTGCATGCTTTGTATGAAAGCAGGTCTGTTTAAATATTTTCTCTGAATTGCAGAGTATCTTTTTACCTGTGGTTTACTACAAGCATTGTGCTAAATGCTTTACAAACACAATCTTACCTAGTCCTCACACTAGCCATCAGAAGTAGATAGTCATGCAACATATAACCAGTTTTGTTCAAAGACAGATTGCATGTACAACAGTGGTCCCAATAGGCTATCACATATAGACATATAGATCTAGAGCTGTATCACTAAGTTTGTACGATGACACTCTATGATGCTCGTTCAACCTTAAAATCTCCTAAGGTTAAATTTCTTAGAATGTACCTCCATCATTAAATGATACATGACTGTACAGTCCATTCTCATTATTTGTGATTGTTCTGCTCTAGAAAATTACCACAAGCTCTGAAATAGAAAATACTGCATCATTGTTCCCAGGAGAAATAAAAGCTTAAGTTCCTGTGAACCTCGGATCACAATGTTTTCATCAAATGACCAGTACATAATCTGTATTATGTGTGTTGTTGTTCAAAGACATCATAAATACTGCACCTCTGGTGACAACCCTGTAATGGCTGTTATCTACAACTGATGGAAGTTTATCAACACATGTATTTTTTAAGGCACGTCACAGCCCTCTTGTGACTAGAAACATTGGACAGCACTTTTGTACCTGGTGTGGTGACTAATCTAAAAAGCAAAATCAATACAAAGCACCAAAAAAAAAAGCTTTTCAAAATGACACTAAATGGACTCTAAAGAGGACAGTTTTCTCCAGTCTGGTCTCAAATAAGAAGCAGAGTGTCACCTTCCTCAAGTTTACCTGAGAAAATACACATCCAATGCTCAAGTGTTTCACCACTCTATGACATCTGCAAATGACTCCAAAAGAATCATAAGTATTGAAGTATTGATTTGGGGGTTACAAATAAATTTCAGTCAGGAGGAAAATTTACAAATACAGAAACCGTGAGCAATGAGAATTGAGGATACTTGTATTAATCTCCTTTGCAAATTGAGAGAATGAGACTTAGCAGTTTCATCGTCTCAACAAATTTTACTGACCATGTTTTTGTTATTCTTCTAGGGCAGTTTCTCAACCCCCCCACTGGTTGTCTTTTTGTCTTTGACTTGGAGGAGCACAGACCCTGATGTGGTGAGTGAGGCAAGCACATGAGTAGAATGTTCTCGAATACCACCAAGGGAACCAGCCTCCACACACACTACATCCATTTCCTAAAAGTCTCCTTTGTACCAGGTGCTCCTGCCCCTGGAGGATATTACCATGAACAGTTATTTCTCTATTATGGAAGACTTTCCTGTGCATTGCATGGTATTGAGCAGCATCTCTGGATTCTACCCACTGGATGCCAGGAGCACCCCCATCTCCCAAGTCATAATACCTAACAATGTCTCCAAACATCACCAAATGTCCCTTGGGAGATAGAATCCCCCACAGGTGAGAGCCACTGGACTAGGAATTAGAGATACAGCAAAGACAGAATGCAACATTTCTGGTCTCAAGAAGCTTATATTTGGAGAGAGTGGGGGGAAATAATGGGGAGCCAGAGCTTAATGGGAAAAGAGTTTCAGTTTGGGAAGAGGAACAAGTTCTAGATATGGATGATGTTTGCACATTGTGAATGTAATTCCTGAATTTCACACTTACACTGAGCTTTGCACTTAAAAAGTACTTGAATGGTGCCTCCCCGGTGGCGCAGCGGGTGAGCGCTGGGTTACGAAGCTGCCCGCAGCCTCTGCAGCGCCGGTTCGATCCCCGGCTGCTCCCCGGCCACCGGAGGAGGGTCCCACATGGCGCGCAGACCTCTCCTGCCGCCCGCTGCTCCCCTCAGCAGTGTACTTCGGTCCTTCTGCCTGCTCTGCTCCCTGCTCTGGCTCTGGTGAATTCTCTCACCCTCCCGCGCTTCTGACTGTACCCAG